GGCGCCGTGGAAGTGGCGGTTGATGCTGGGCTCGTAGAACTCCTTGTAGTCGTAGGTCCCGTCGACGTACTTGATCATCACGGGCCACCGGTACGACGAAAACCTGCGCCGCGCGCGTCCCCGGGGGGCGTACTGGACGTCCGGTAACGCCGGCGCGCGCGCGTCCCGGACGAGCGCCTCGAACTCCGTGGGGTCCATGATGTTCTGCTTGAGCGCCTTGTTGCGGATGAGCGCGAAGAGCGCGTCGATGTCCTCGTGCGTCGCGCCGACCTGCGACGGCGCGCGTTCCCCGCGCCCGACGCCGGACTCCGGGGCCGCGACCGGGTTCCGCACGTACGTGAGCTGCTCCGTCAGCCGCCTCCTCCCGACCGCGTCGACGGCCCAGGCGAAGGCGACGTTGCCCCAGTTGGTGTTGACGCCGTCGATCTGGATGCGGACCTTGGGCGGCGCGCCCGTGGGCTGCCCGGCGGCCGCGCGGACGCCGGCGACAGCGGCGAAGGCCGCGTCGAGCGTGTGGAGATGGAGGTTCGTGTCGTCGTTAACCGCGGGGTTCACGAGAAAGATGACGAGGGCGTGCCCGTGGAAGAGCGCCCCGACAAGCTTGAACCCGCAGCACTCGCGCCTACGACAAAGTGTGATTTCGCGCGCGCGCCCCGGCGGACGCCGGCCGCGCGCGTGACCGCCGTGCCCTGGAAGGACGGGATTTTGCAATAGGATTGGGTGGCGCCATCCACGATAACAGTCATGTATCTCAACGGCTCCTCGCACGGTCTAAGCCGCTCTCTCCAGTAAATCTGTCTCTCCGAGCGAATCCAATCTCGCCAAATTTTGCGAAGGACGCGCAGCTGGTCTTTCTCGGACTTCGTGGCGCATTTTTTCAGCAAATCGCGTAATTTAGCGGAAACAGTGTTTTTCGAGTCAACATTTTTATAGACGCGGAATTGGAGGTTGCTGAACTCTTCGCTGTGGAGGACGCCCCGGAAAATGGTCTCGGACGCGACGCCGCCCGGATCACCCGTCGCCTCCGCCGTAAGCTCGGCGAATTCGGCATAAAGCTCGTCGAAGCCCATCTCGTCCAGCTGGTAGACCACTCGAGCCACGAGGCCGTTGGTGGGTTGAGGTTCGGCTTCTTCTCTCAACTTGACGAGGAACCCGTAGGCCTGCGCGCGCTTGTCCGTTTCTTGAGCGCCGCCGCGGTCCGGGTCGTCCTGAAGATTGCCCTTGCTGAGCTCGCGGAGCGCTCGGTAGAGGTAGTCCTGCAACAAGCCCNGTGCGCACGCAGAACCCGGCCATGCAGGTTATCCTT